TAGGAGAATATTAGGCAAAGTCTATGTTTAAAACTCTAGGACATAATTTTAAATCATGTTACTTCTTAAAATAACTTTGCTACACTATCAACGGCCACAGTTATCTTAGTAACAGTTTTGACATCTAGGAGAGATCCACAATCCACAAACTTGACAGGAAATTGTCCCTTGTTTTCTTCTAGGTTAGTACCTCCAGGCTTAGTCGAAAGTCCAACTACAAATGTAGGGAGATGGTGCAAGGAAGGAAGCAGGAACATGTGGCTGGGGCATGGAGGCGTAATAGCTCTCCATTTGGTCAGCAACCAGCTGTTAGATAGAATGAACCACCAAAATGCAGCTGAGCTTCATACAGTATATCTATCACACATAGCAGCTGCTGACTTTATGGGGCTAACAACATTTTTCATGCAGTGAATCAGCTGATCTAAATACAGGGCTATAGAGATATGACTGCAGATAAACTTTGACCTCTTTGCTATTTCTCCTAGCTGGTACACTTCTAGAATGGATGCTTTATTGTGCAAATAAAGATTATCTTCAGATTTCAGTAGCCAAGTTGTGAGAAAGCCTAAGAACTGTGCTTTTGGAATTTTCTCAAATTTACAGATTAATTCCCTGAAAGTAGTAAATTGCTTAGTCTAGTCATTGATTCAAGGAAAAAAGATCTTGATAGCTTCTGATGATCTTAGGGGTGGACACAAAGCATCATGCAGCTCCAGTCATCTACCTACTTCTTCTAGGGGACATAGAACTAGGTAGAACCTCATGATTAACATCACCTCTCTCTGAAATGTTACATTTGGCATAATCAGATTATAAACATTAAGAAAACCACCAAACTTTATTTGGAAAGACTGCTCCAATAACTGACAAATTATGTAAAATGAAGCTAGCGGCCAGTACAATTTGTACCACTTATATGAGGTAGCATTTAGCAAAGAAGGGATGCATGTATTCTTATAGCTATAAATGCTGCCAGGAATGTGACCGTTTAATTAGTATAGACTAACCATTTGTCAGCAAAGAATAAAAGCAAGACCTCATTTCTAACTTTAAATTAAAAAATGGTAAGTTAAAGTGTCTACAAAATGCAGAAATAAGTTATTGATTCTTTGGAAAATTATTCTGTAATATGGACACAAACTATACAACAACAATCAGGAAGGCTCTTATTTAAATAAGTATTGGCAACCTTTCATAAAGGATTAATGCTATCTCTGCTAATGGTTAGAAAACAAATTTCTGTTAATGCATACTCTACATGTTGTCTTTTCTTTCTTGCCAATTTAAGGCTTGCTTAAAAAAATACAGTCTTGGCTATAAAAGCAATGTTTTGGGATGTGCTGCAACATGATTGATCTCTCCCTGTTCTTTTAGCAACTTAGCTAAAGTATTTTCGTCTAATTTTATGATTTTTTTATTACTTGAAGTAATAAAGCATGGCAGCCCCAAATTGATGACCTTAGAGAATTTTGTCTCTCTAAAAATGTATCACCATAACTATATTACAAACATTAATTGTGAAATTATTTTTTTCAGCTTTCCCAGCTGTTTTTGCAACTTCAGCATACTTTAAGAGACGTGCTTTTTCCCATCTGTGCTTTCATTTTTATATTTATTTTCTTCAAGAATACATGCCAGCCAAAGTTTTACACAAAAAATAGAATGTTTAATGAAAAAATCTCATAAAGAATCACTGAAATGCTATCAACTAACTATTCCTTCTTTCAGATCTGAATGTATTAATAATTCTTTCCCTCTCCCCTGTAATTTCCTTAAGATATGTTTCATTGATTGACTTCCTCCCTCAAAAGCAGAATTTCTGAAAGAAGATGCATCACTGATAGTGAGCTATTAGTTTTTGACAATTACTTTATCCAAAATAACCATCATGTAGTCAAGGTTAACATATATCAACAGAAGTCTTATATGCCAGGTATTAATTGAATTAAAAAGAGATTCCCATAACTAGCCATGTGGCAAAGGAGAAATCTGGCAAATAATCCCTGCTGCACCTTCCACATTTGAGCAAAATATTGGAGATGCCAGATGTGCTGTTCAAACCAAATTGCCAAACTTCTGAACTCATGGATGGGGACTGAAGCACTTCATTCCTGTGCCCTTGCTTCTTGTAGATGTCCCAAGCTATTCTCCCCCCTTCAGAAATCCTGAATGTGCTACTGCTTATAAAGAAAGGAGGCTCCTTGGCAGGAGCTGATGAATAGTACTGTGCAAAGGAGCGTGCCACAAAGAACTGCAGTCTTGCAAAATGGCTGCTAATCCTCAGGGCTGTTGATGATGCTCAGCCTTGGCTGCCTTCACTGGAGCCTGTACTCAAAAAGTTCTTCCACCTCCCTCTTGGGGAAACCCAAGGGCCTTGCTGTCCGAGAGCATGCAATCATGTTCTGCTCTCGCTAAGCTCAGTGGGAGCTGATGGGTGTTTCGGATGAAAGTAATTCTTTTATTCATCTTTGAAGACAGAAGAAAGTAAGCACCTACTCCTAAAAAAAAAAGATTTTGAAATGTAATTGTAGGAAGTCCTACTTTCTACAGCTTTGTATTGTATGATGAAGAGAGACGGGAATATAAGCAAAGAGGGATGAGTGCATATCTTGGTTCAGGTCAGGAAAAGAGATTTTATGATGCGTACATGCAGAAAATGCACAAAAGTGGGAGATGATTAGTGAATATGAATGAAAGAACAGAAGAGGTTTATGTAATCGTGCTTTGTAGGATTTTTATGGAAAAAAACCACAAGAAGCTCCAAAGCCACTTAATAGGTCAGTATTATTTTCATACTTCATGTTGCTCTATATTACAATAAATGAGCCAGATCATGAAGCTGGCTTTAAATCTCAAAATAAATCCCTGTTGATGTTCGTATTTCATGCTCTCAAGTAAGCACAAATACCATATTCCCTAAGTTACTTATTTAATATTTTTAAGTTGAAAAACAGATGTAAGACAAACTGTTAAACTAGAGTCATGAGAATACCTCAATGATTTAGAATACATCAAATGAATAAGATATTATTTGAAAGAGGTTAGATACTTGGAGATAGGCTTATACTTACAGATATTCAAATATGATAAATTATGAAAATGCAGATCTGTGTGTCCAAACAAAACTGCTCTCTAAGGTTGCAAGCACAGTGACAAGGGGTATAAAAATCTGGCAACCAGAACCACCAGATGCCTTCAATTGTAATCACAGGTTTTGTGTACTGTAATCAGAGCAACCTTACAGCTGTGTGTTTTAACTAGGCAATTGCCTAAGCCTACTGTAAAATGTTTACCTTACCTTTAAGCCCAGAATTAACTAATTTTCTAGTAGTATGTTTTGGAATAACTCAGTGATAACATTTTCAAAGAAGTAATGCAGTTCTGTAATCCTATTTGCAGAGATGACTTTGCTCAGATTCTCATTCTGATCTCTCTCTAGTACACAAAGAATGAGGTTTAATATCCACAATTATTTTCTGAAAGAAGAAAGAACCAAAGCTCTTGATCTATCTTCCTTTGTTCATGTACTTATTGCCTTTTTTTTTTTTTTTTTTTTTTTGGTGGGCCTTTTTTCTAAATTAAAGAAGATGCAATATTTTCAGTGCTTTCTTATATGGTAGCTCTCTAGTACCTGAGATGTCTCACTCCTTTCTGCATGTCCTTTTTCTTCCCCGGTGTCCCTTCTAACTGCTAGACAAAGCCATATTCTTGGTCTTTATAAAGGCATTACAATACTTGACAGTGGCACTGAGGCAAATAAAATGCATTCTGGAGATCTCCCTTTTCTTTTAACAGAGGTGCATTTGAACAAAGGTCTTTTCCAAGCTGTCTATAGTAATGTCCAGTTCTCCAGATTCAGCTGCTAAAGTTCATTTGGACACATATAAATTTTTTAATCCCTAGATGTACCTTTCCAGGGGGACACATATTAATTCTTGTTCTCAGTCTTCTTGTGAATAGGGAACAACTCAAATTGCCATAGTGTGATGGCAATTGAAGATACCCATAATGATTATCATGCCAAAACCCAGTTGATTTTAGTGTCCTATTTGTAGGCACAGCATGAAGCTCAAAAATGATTGTGGTTCTCTTGCTAGAACAATGTTGGAGTGAAGTAGAAGTTTGACTCTAGAAATTTCTAGAAATTTCCCCAGTCACTGAAAAAAAAGAAATCATGTGGTCTGGATTTTTGAGAGTTCAAACATAAGCAATGACTCATGAGAGAAATATGAAATATTTGCAAAGTTATTGAGAAAATTATATTAAAGAAGCACAGAGAAAAATCAGACACGTGGAAAGACTGCATGAAAGGTTACTTGAATTTTCTCCTTGCTACTTATTTTCTCATTGCTTTCCTTGAAAGCAGTGTACTCTGTTATAAAGTGACTACCAAAAAAGCCTTATTAGTTTAGACATAGAAATTACTTCAGAATCAAGTATTTAAAACAGTTTTTGCATTCCTAGATATTAAGCATTTAAAGTGTTTATAGGTCTTCCTACTGTTCCATGTCTTTATTGGAAATTCTCTCTGATAAAAATGTGCACATAACAGTGTTAAATCTGACTTCTGACTTCTAGTCATGCGATGAAAATATCAAAGTCATTTGAAAATATCAAAGTGTAGATAGAGGAAGATGTCTCAACGCCTAAGTTTTTGTCTTCTAAAAAATTTCCATCATTGCCAAAGCTGGTGAAGCTCTGCTGGTGGTTACAATGGTGGGAGCACCAGGGCAGAACAGCTTCCAAGTGTCTGCAAGCATACTCACCGCCGTGCCTTCTACCCACCTCCTGCAACTCTCTGTTCCTGCCTTCAGAAAATGCGTGCCCACCCATATTTGTCCTTCCTCTCACGGAGCTGAATACCGGGGAACTTCACATGAATGCATAACAGACAAGGAACAAACTTGTTTAGCGAGGGAGCCAGCAGGCTTACTGTACTACCCCCCTTCCAACACTGAAAGAATGCAACTACCTTCTCTCTTTCCTTTCCCATGTAGCTTGAGAATTACATCCAAGACAGTATGAAGAAAGAAATGGTAGAGATCCAGCAAACTGCAGTGCAGAACCAGACTGCAGTAATGATTGAAATAGGCACAAACTTACTAAATCAGACAGCTGAACAGACCCGCAAATTAACAGATGTTGAAGCACAAGTAAGTAACGAATTTCAACCTAAAACTGCTTCTGCTTCCCAAACACCTACAACTATACATTTATCACAGTTTAGTGTTACACTCTTCAGTTCAACAATTAGAAGTCAATCATTATTAACAGCTCTACCCAGCTTAAGGAAACATTAGTATTTGGCAATACATCGTTCCATCTCAAGCCCACTGTTGCCACTTGAAAGACTTCGCATGACGGGAGTATGTCCAGAAAGACAATTGCTACATTTGTCCTTAAAGATAATGTACATAAAACTACTATACTATATCCATGCATCAGTTGGGCACTAGTATGTTTTCATATAGTCCTTGTTGTGTATCTCAGTTGATTATTCACCTGTCACCACCAGATCTTAGCTAAAAGAGAGTTCCTTCAAACTGCCTCTACTTACCAGGCTAATTGCCTTTTTACATTTAAATTTTCTTTTGTGTTTTTTAAAACTTCTTATGAAGAAAAATGTGTCCTTTTAATTAATGTTTTCACAGATACTGTAAGAGGGATAACCATTCATTTCCAGCACAATGCACTATATTAATGTTATTTAACAGAGGGATAAAGAAACAAACCAGAGATGAATCAAGAAAAAAGGAATTAGGAGGAGGATACTGGAAATGTATATTCACACAGAAGTAAACCTGCCTACTGTACATATTATTATCTAAATTATTTCAAACAAAAAATGTAATATATTTATGTTTAATTATTGCTTTATTTGAAAAGCATTAACTGCAATAAGACATTCTGTGAAACAGAATACAGATTTTAATAGGTTATAAGGACAAGTCCAATCAATGCAGAATGGTATGTATTTGTAGTTTTGCTAACATGGTGGGAAAATTCAGATATGTAATTCCCAAAACAAATAATGAATACAGCATGCAGCCCATAACATTTTATATAATGTAATTAGCATGCAAAACCTAAAAAAATCCTTGTTAGACATTTTACGATCTGTAGAATTCATCCAATGAATTAACTTCCATTTTTTAACCTAAACTAAGCCTTTGTGAACTCTAATAAAATGGTAGTTCATAGCTCACAGGCGCACTGAATTCAGCTTTCTCATTGCATTATTCAGGAGCCCAGTATTTTGCACATGTTGAGAGAATGTATTTATTAATTCACAGTAATGTCTTTATGGAAATTATTCAATTATTTTCTACTCAGAGGAAGAAAATCATCACTGTAACTTTCCTTCTCTGCTTGAAATTACTGGTGAGTGGGTTAAGGGCTTAATTAACAACATAAGGAAATTAATCAAACAATTGCTCTCTCAAGGACACTTAGTTTTGGCAATAGTTTTCGATTACACTTAAGTGTGAAATCATGTCCTGAATGACTGTTTAACATGAAGGACATGAGTAATCAATTCTTCCTGCCAAGGAAAAGCCAAATTCTGCTGAATTAAAAAAAGCTGTTCTAAAACAATGAGAAAATATTTCTAGAAAACATGCCTCAAAGTAATGCAATCTGATACAAACCAAAAAGTAGCTTCCATGTTTCCTAATATCTGCACTTCTTCATTTAAAGAAGCAAATACATTTAGACAGTAAACAATACATATAGAAAAGGTAACATTAAAATGCAAGGAATGAATCAACAAAAGTGTAGTTCACACGCTAAACACTTTAAAATAGAATGTGGGATTAAGGAAAATAGCTAAGAGGAAACTATCTAGTGATTTCAGGACTGGGCCAAGATTTCAACCAGTGAGACATACGGAAAGTACTTTCTACACCAAATTGAGAAAACAACTCAAATTATTCTCTGAACAACAACCATAAGAGTTCCAGTAATGAAGTAAGAATATCATAACAGATGGGAAGGTGTGACAGCAAAACTAAAGTACACAGTAACTCAGCCATTAATCAGAAACACAGCATACTACTGAAATATTCTCAATGATAGATGGTAGTGTAACAACAAAATTAGTGCAATTCTGTGTATTCTTCATTCTAATTCTATGAGCATTTGTACCCAAATTAAGTGTTCAAAAATATTTTTTAATTATAGGCTTAAGTAGAGATTTGCATGATTTCATAACATAAGGAAATTACCATTTATTTAAAAGAAGTGTCTTGATTTTCAAATACTTTTATATATTTTATTTAGGTATTAAACCAGACAACCAGACTTGAACTGCAGCTTTTGGAACACTCTCTTTCAACAAACAAACTAGAAAGACAGATTTCAGATCAGACCAACGAGATAACTAAATTACAAGAAAAAAACAGGTAAGTTTTCCTATCAAACCAATAAAACACTATTCCCTGAAGTGACCTTCTAATGGTTTTAGAAACAATTGTACTCAAGGAGGAAAATAAGACCTTGTACAGAAGCTCCCCAAACCAAGCTGTGCTCACTACAAAGGTCATATATATTATTAAAGGCCTAGAGAATCATGCAGGTTTGTTCTTGTGTTCTGTTTATATATAATTCTTCACTATATAAAGTTCTCCTTTATATGAGGAACTTGAGGTTAAAAATGAAATACTTCTCAGTACTTCAGTTTTAGCCAATTCATATTCTTCTTTATACTTCTCTAGATGAAGTTATGGATTGTGTAGCCTGACTCAAACTAAGCCAGTGCAACCACACCTCTCAAATTTTTTGTCCATGTCATACACAGCTACCCTAATACACAATCATGTCCCTGCCACCATTTTTTTCTAACTTGGTGAGAAAAGTCAAATACTGCTCATAGTCAATGTTCCTTACTTGTCAATCTTTTGAAATTCAGACCGATAACCAACTATTACTCCTGTCCATTTCTGTACTCAGCTGTTGTCCAAAGGCCCATACCTTTTTTTCAGCTAGTTTCATTTTCATATCACTAAGATCTTATTTTACTTTTGGCAATAAATAGTTTACAAAGAAATCTAAAAGCAGCAATAACTGTAAGTTTTCTCCTTCAAACCCATGTTTTTCAATGAGAACCATATGTGCAAAGTGCTTTTTATTATAAAAGAATTAGCTTAAAAAAAACAGGAGACATGTTTTGACATTTTTATTCACTATTCTGCTACATTTATATATGCTCCCTAAAGGTTTTACCTACCATTTTAAAGTAAAATGTCCCTTCTTTTTTTTTTTTTTTTTGTGTTGAACTCAGCAGACCTCAAACTACCCTTGTAAAACCCACGTAAACACAAAAGCATTACTTCTCACCTAACAAAAGACGATCTGACATCAAACAATCTGCTTGAAACATAATTACAAGGTTCAGGATTTTTTTCAGTAACAGCAGTGGATTTTAGGGGAACTTCTCCCTTCCGGGTCACGCATCTTTTAACATCAGCTTTCTCAGAGTCTGCATCAGAACAATTACCAATCAAATAATTTTCCAGCCAGTCACCTACTCACACCAGGTCAAGAACTGGAGATGAGTAACACACCTTCAAGTAACTATTTGCACATTTCCCTGTCTTAACACATATATAACAGTATATATTTTATTATAATTACAGTATATTTGAAAATTTAATAGGTTCATCTTTAAATAAGTTTCATATTTTCATAGGGTAAAACCATAAAATCTTTCACTATTGCACCTAATCTGGGAGAAAATGGTATTCAAGACACTTCACTGTCATAAGTAATGGTTACTTTGGGTCTACATGCATTTTATACTCCCTTTACTTCTAGCACTACTGTCCTTTTTTCAGGACCAATCGATATCTTTCCCTTCATAATGTTGAATTATCAAACATCCCATTGTTACACTTTAAAAGCCTGCAATACAGTCTATACTTGATAATGCTGTTTATTAATGTACTAATTAGTTATATATTAAATGAAAGCATATAGATCAAACTAAACTCAGCTTTGATTTAGCTTTCTGCTGCATGCCCAGCATCAGAGAATGAAGTTGAGTACTTACAAAGAGAGAAACTTCTGCAGCTGGCTCAATTCTCTTTACATCAGCTCACAATTTATTTTTTTTTTTGAGAGCCTAATTGTGATCTTTTATTTAGCTTTCTAGAAAAAAGAGTTCTTGAGATGGAAGACAAGCACACACTTCAGTTGAAGTCAATAAAAGATGAAAAAGACCAGCTTCAAGTCCTAGTAGCCAGACAGAATTCTATTATAGAAGAACTAGAAAAGCAGTTAGTTACAGCTACAGTAAACAACTCAGTTCTGCAAAAACAGCAGCATGATCTGATGGAGACTGTTCATAACTTGCTTACTATGATATCTACACCAAACTGTAAGTAAAAGCAGATACACTTATATCATTTGAGTGACATTCCCTCATTTGTGTATATTATTACCTATAAAGTCTTACAACTAGTTTCCTCACACTTCTGCTCAGAAAGTATTTTTTTTTTTCCATAAATTCTACATCTGAGTTAACTAACCTATTTTTTAGGGGTGAGGGGGGAAAACCACAACATTTATGTGTTTTCTTTTCAACATTTTGCTCATCTTCTGTGGTTTATATTAGTTTGCCTGCCCACTTCTCCCGTGGTTCAACAAAATACAGAGATGCCAAGTATCATCCATCTCACACGGCATTTTCCTTCACCTGGCAATACGCACTCCCTTGACCATGTATCTAGGTTAGACTGCATGATGTAGGCCTGTAGCTTTTCTTCTTGGTTCGCAATTTTACTTTTGCCACCTCTTATTGCTCTATGCACATAGAATTGATCAAAGAAAGGGCAAATAATAGCGGCTACTAAAGGCAAAGGAATGAGCACTGGTCCAGTTTTTAGCACCTGTGTATGCCCCAAACAACAGAGAGAACCAGCTCAGGGCATCAGGTACTCCAAAAAGTCCTCTTGTCTTTCACTGAAGCTTCCCTGTTCATCCTAAAAATCCATCAACCTAGCAAATTTTATAGGCAATAATCTCACCCCTAAATGCCTGACAGTTCTGCAACAAATCATAGCCGGGGAGCATAGCTTCAAAATTTATGCAGATTCACATGCTCCATAAAAAAACCACACAAGCCATAAACTGCAAATTATGGCTAAACAGGATTTAAAAAATGAACAAATTCCTTACCTTGAATTTCAAGTCTGATGTGGGACTTTGACAAATTAAGATACAAGGTATAGGTATTCTATATAAAAGAGTAAGCAATCTGGCACGTTTGCCTGGAAAGTTCTCAGGGGTGGAAATACACAAGCACACAGAACCTTTGAAAAATGGATTTAAATTTAAATACTAGGAAAATTTTAAAATAGTTGTCATTACAACTTAAAAGGCACTTTAGGTGAACGATGCTACATTACTGTAAGTTGGATCACAAAAAAAGGAAGAGGGTGTTCGGAAGTCCTCGTTTTCAGCAGTGTCCTAAATCATATGATGTTGTAGGTCTTTCTAAACAAAGTAATTCCCAAGTTTTTTGTCTTAATAACTGACACTATCCCCTTAAATACCATTACCAAGGCTGTTTTTGCTGATGTTATCTGCTATGCTAGTGCACAAATAAGTAAACAAGTAAAGTCATGTTGGCTACAACAGTTAAACCCAGAGTGGAAAAAATAATGAATGTTTGCCAAAAAGACAAAATTAGCAAGGAAAGCTTCTAAGACAGTATACAAACAATAGAGTGTGGAAAAGCAATTAAAACACTGAACGTGTTATTTTTATATTTAAGCCAAAGCATGTAAACAGGTAAATAATGAATAAGGAAACTAAAAGGAACATAATAAGCAACTGTAATATAAGCATGTATTTATAGGGCACCTAAAACTCTGTACTAACTGTCTGTGCTTGTTAGATTAAATTAAAAGGGAAAATACACAGAACCAACCCCAAAAGGGTCAAATAGGAAATATCAGGCAGCAGGCGAAATGCCAGGAAATTCCAACCTCCACAGTTAATAAAGAACTGGACAAAAAGATGAGCCTTAGATTGTTCTGTAAAATAAGAAGGCCTAGGCATACTAAAATGTATTTTTTACACAAATTAATTCCAGAAGGGATGTTTCCTCAGTGGATTGGGCTGAGCTACCAAATTTCAGCTTGATACATACAGAGTTGTTCCTGCTCAGCACAGGGGCAAAATCACAGAATCACAGAATCACAGA